AGATGTGAGCTCTGTGGATGGCTTGGACCAATGGCAAAGCGCCGTTGGTCCAAGCTGTCCAATCAAAAAAAAGATAAACTTCTTTTTTTTTGCAGCGAGGCTTCCCTTCAAAAATGGGCTTTCTTTTGAATACCTTTTGTGGGCTTCATGATTTTTATTTTATGTCGATAGGGCATTCTTTTAAGTTTTGGGTGCTAAAAGCGCAACATTCACTTGTTACTGACCATCTGTTCTTGGAGCTGCCTTTTGCTTACAGCACTTCAAAATAAAAGTTACACTGGTTGGTCCCAATATTACTGATATTACTGATTAAAACGGACCTGCTACTTGCCAGTTTTACACTGCTGTGTCCTCTGCAGTAACTTAATTTTTGTAATAAAGCATCAGCCTGTACTCTTTGTTGCTAGGGAAGTTGGGCCTAGCCTTGCTCATTAACATTGCCCTGCTGCTGGCCAATTTTACAGTGCTGTAGCAGACTGTTACTTAGAGAAAGGGGTCCTGTGAGGCCCCAAATCATAGGTGCAAGAACATGTTGTTGCCACTTTTTCCTGGTTGCTTGTCCTGTTGAGCCTCAATAAACAACTGAGGCTCACTATGGAGGGGCTAGCTTTTATTATTTTATGAGCTATAATCCGGTATCACTGGTAACCGTGTACATTCAAGGTCAGGTGCTCAGTGAATTTGTCTATAGTTTGGATCACATCACAGGCTGAGCAGGATTACAACCAGTTCCCATATACTGTATATAAACTTCAGTTGTGTATTTAGCTGCTTGACTAGAGTTTAGCTGTAAAGTAATCCTGTTGCGATAGAAATATGAAGAATACCTGTCTCCTTTTGAGAATACTAGTTACCTGTCTGTCATGCTGACCCTCAGTGAACATTGATGCACATAAGGGCTTCTTACTTTTCTGTGACGTTTCTGATCTGTAGATTTTTCCAGACCAGGTACTGAAACCATAGGGGCATAGCTCCAAAACCAGGCAGCCATCCTTTTCAGTGCGGGTTCAGCAATGGCATCCTGTATTTATAGAATATTTTGCATTTGCATATTTAGTAATTGGTTTAGTTTTTTCAACCAATTCCCTTAAAAATGCAAACGTTTTAATTTTTTGTTATTTTGCCAACATTGTTATAAATAGCCTCATTTGTAATGAAGGTGACAGTGTGAACGCGTGGAGCGGTGACGCACGTACTGTCTCATGAGATCTCCTGCAAACCTTTTCTGTGCCGCCCGACCTCAATCTGAGCAATTTCAGGTGTGAAAAGAGCTTTGATAATCAGTTTCTAACAATAAGCAACACTTTCTATTTCTATTCCAATGAAGATTTAGCCTTACTACAAACAAATGGTAATAGGAATAAACTCTGAATACAAACCACAACTAAAATCTTCATATAAAGTGCACCTAGCATCAGATTAATTTTGAAGCCCAAAGTCCAATTTAAAAAAAGATCAGAATAAAATATATATTGCTCATCACATTTAAAAAATAAAGACATCAGCTCTGGTGCAGACTCAGCGAAGGTCCTCTGGTCCTTATCTGGGTTTAATGATACCTAGAGTAATTTACGACTTGAGTACCAGCCACCAGGATAAGGGTTTGTCCCAGCTCTGTTTTTAAATGGTGGCTAGTCTCAGTGGCTTCTGCAGGCCCCCACCGGCATGAAGGTCGCTTCTATAGTGATCTGTTGCTGGCTGATAGCAACCAGCAATAAGTCACTATTAGAAGTGATCTGCTGCTGCACAGCTGTAATAGGGTTCTGGATAAGGTCTCCAAAGACCAGATCCAGACCCCCTCTCCCTTAAAACAAAACATTTTAAAAGTAGAAAAAAAAAGTGTAAATAAATAGGGAAATAAATATATACTGTATGTATGTATGTGTATATATATATGTATATATACATACATATGTAATATATCCTAAAAAATAAATAAAAATACCCAGATTAACTACAATAATGACGTCAGATGATCTGGATGACATTTCCATCACATTCTCATGTAAGTGAGCACAATATCATTCACATTTTTAGCAATGGCAAACCTGTGAAAAAGTCGTCATCGTGCTAATTTGTGCCCCATCAAGCAGACTTAATCTTTTCTCAATGGTGCACTAATAATTTATGGAAACTGTTTTTGTTTTTTCCTGTACGTGCATCACACTGTAGCGTCAAAAGGGAATAAAGCTCTCCTAAAGTAAGACGCCTACGTCCACTTTTAGCTTTTCCATTCTGCTTCATTACATATGTCACCCTAATGTGATATCATCTTGATCGGTGGACTTTGCTGATTATATTTTGGGATATATGGGAGGGTGCAAATTCCGTAAACGCTGCACTGGGAAAAATTACAGTAAAATGCATTTTTTTGTCAAAAAATGTTTTACTATTTATTCTCAATAGAAACCAATCAAATAAAATAACATTTGCTATGCCGAAAAAATGATGTACAGTTGAAACTCGAATAATTAGAATATCGTGCAAAGTTCATTTATTTCACTAATGCAACTTAAAAGGTGAAACTAATATATGAGAGAGACTCATTACATGCAAAGCAAGATAATTGAAGCCGTGATTTGTCATAATTGTGATGATTATGGCTTACAGCTCATGAAAACCCCAAGAACCCCAAATCCCCAACCTCAAAAAAGTAGATTATTACATGCAATCAATAAAACAAGGATTGTACATAGAACAATATCGGATCTCTGAAAAGTACAAGCATGCATATGTACTCAGTACTTGGTTTGGGCCCCTTTTACAGCACTTACTGCAATTACTTTTGCACGATATTCTAATTATTCGAGTTTCACCTGTATAGTACACTAGGGTAGACTGCAAAACCTAAACGTTATAACAAAAAAAAGTTATATTTTTGTTGGTGCTGATGAAGAATAAATAACTGATGTCCTAAAATACTTATTTTTCTGGGAACAAATGCTGCTCTAGACCCTCTTCATCAGGGCTTGGTATACTGTGTGTAATGACAAGATCATCTAACTGATAAGTTAGTTGTAAATTTCTATTGAAAAGACTCTGGCAGCGAGTCTATTAACCACTGGCTGCCAATAGATATTCTAAACGAACCTTTTTCAGAATAAGTTCTTCACTTGCCTAATCTTGTTATTACACACAGTATACCAAGCCCCCAAAGAAGGGGGTGCAGCCTGGCACCCAAAACGCGCTGGCTTTTGGTTTCTTGGGTTACAACCCGTCGTACTCTGTATTTTAAGGTGTGACACTTTTATTCACTCCTTAACCCCTGGATTGTTTCCGAGATATCCTAGTTGACCATCCTGAGTCTAAGAGCAGCTAAGTCTGAATTATTGTATTCCTTTAAAGCTGAACTCCAGCTTTACCTTTTTTCCCCACACTTGAGTCCTCTCCTATGTTGAAACTGAATACTCTCATTTCCCTTTGACTATTCTACATTTCCCTGTGAACTTGCATCTCCACAATATAACCCTCTGAAGTTGCAGCAATTCGAGCCACCTTCATTTCCTGCCCGAATGACCTCCATCATTCATTGATCACTTCTCCCCCTGATCTGTACAGTCAATACCCCCCTTTCACAGCTATTTTGTTGTCAGAGCTATGTTGCAGTTTAGAAACATTGAGCAGCTCTACCCTCTTGTCTCCAATGCTGCTGCTTGAACCTCAGTGCCTGGTAAAGCTTCCGCCAAAGCCTTCACTGAGCGATAGGTAAAAAAACGGCACTAGCAAGGGGGTCCGTCCATCCAGTACTTTATTTGTAAAGTACTGGATGGACGGACCCCCTTGCGAGTGCCAGTTTTTTACCTATCCATCAATAATGTTGTCCCCAAGATTTATGTAAAAGAACACATCCCCGGCATCCCTTCAGACGTGCCTGCAACCAGTCAGTGGAGCACACAGCTAAAATCTGCAGCACCTAGTGGACAGAAGGAAGAAGCACATCTAAAGGGATCCTGGGGATGTGTTCTTTCATATCAATCTTTTCAAACAGATCCAAGGCAGAAAGCTGTGCCATTTACAGAAGCCTGCCACCAAAGGGCAGTAGGCAGACCTTTTTCAATCCCATCATTTTGCTTTTCAAGAAATACCTGTTTTGAGACTCAGGTAGGTCACCTGAGTCTCAAAACAGGTATTTCTTGAAAAGTAAAATGATGGGATTGAAAAATTTTAGGATACAGGGATGGTATTCTCTGTGTACACTGCACTTCGACTTTAAAGTAGAACTCCAGGAACTACAAAACTAACCCTTGCAGTGGGGTTACCCCCACCATGCAAGGGTTAAGTGCTCATTTTGGTCTATAGGGTCAAATAAAGCAGATATACTCACCTGATCCTCAGTCCTGCCAAACTACTAGAGTGGTCCACACAGCCTTTCCTCGCCTGGACTCCGGTGGTCTAAGGAACTCTAACGTCATCACGTATAATGTAGGTTCATCATGTCCAATGCAGGTAATGCAGCTGGAGTGGAGGGGGGAGAGAGGTGAGCGCTGCCCACTGCGAAGAAAACATAAGCACGTAAAAGTGTGGCTTTAGACTCAAGATGGCCAACTAGGATATCTCGGAAAAAAAGCCAGAGATTGAAGAGTGAATAAAAGTTCTACACCTTAAAAACCAGAATCCAAAGAGTTGCTACACCTTAAAATACAGAGTCCAAAGGAATGCTACACCTTAAAATACAGTGTCTGAAGGGTCTGAAGAGCCAGGCTGCACCCCCTTCATTGGGTGTTTTACAGGTTTTATAGAATCCCAGACTACTTTAATGAAAGACTTGACTCCATGAACTCTGTGTAGCTTGAGATCATTGCCTCTGGGCCTAACGAAATAATAAAGCAAGGACGAAGATAACAGTAGAGCGTGCTCTTTCGAGAACAAGTCAGGAATGGCATATTGACAGGTTCCTTGTAACCGCTCAGCGATTCTTAGGGACATGCTGTGACAGTAAGACTTTGAGGCATGTTGAATGTTGATGGCTAATCCTGTTTGTGTTTTGACTCCTTCAGCTGGATGCGGTCCTCACCTCTGCTCACGCTACTCAGCCTGTTCACCCTCTGCCACTCACAGGTAAGGTCACCCCTGTTATGGAAATTCGCTTGGTTCAACGCACAAATCCATGTCGCATTAAGCTGCGCCAAACGCAAAGAATTTCCCCCGTTGTACTACGCTCTTTTGTGCAAGGACTGGAAGTATCCCCTTCAGAGTCATGTAGAGTCAGGAGACAGATGCTGCTTGCTTGATAATCCCATGCTTAGAGACCTGAGCACAGGTATGTTTATTGTTTTATACCTGCCCAACAGGAAGTGATGTCAGACAGGAAGGGGTGTCTCAAACAGCGAGACAGGAAGGGGTGTCTCAAACAGCGAGACAGGAAGTGATGGCAAACCAACAGATTATTTCAACAACCAGCAAACCAGGAAGTGGGACAGACAGGAAGTGAACAGGAGCCAGCTAACAAAACACATTAGTAGAACAATCACATGTAGTAGAATAATCTATCACCACCGGAGTGACTTTATACAGCATTGTTCAGTGATCAATGCCACATAACGTTACTATGATTCTCATGCGTGCTTATTTTCAGGCAACGTCATTATCTCCAGCGGGTTGATCAGACTCACTAGGGACAATAAACGCACGTTCCTTTCATATACTGCGTTCCAAACAAATGTATCCACGCAAGCCAATAAATCCATGCATTGCACGGGGGGCCCCAGCCGGCGTCCATACATTCGCCAAGAAGACACTGCTCCGCCGCGCGTAAGATATCTACTCCAATGGTTTAACCCCCCAGTGTCTATTTAAACCGAGACACTGAGAGACTAATGACAAAACATTACAATACACTAAAAACACATCCTAATAAAATTTCCACAACACCCCGCACTTAGATATCAGTCGCCCTGGCATTGCATTGATTTCCCTGGGGCCCTTCAGGATAATATCTCCAATTATTAGACCCGGGGGGGCTGGCTCTTAGAGCTTTTCATAGCTGATGCTCTTTATACGAGTAATCGGCTCCTGAGTCTCTCTTTTCTCTTTTTCTTTCTGTAGCCGCAGCTGTCTCTATGTTCTCATGAAATGCATACAATTTATTTTACAATTCCATGATGCACAATTTCATTAAACATCAGAACTGTGTTTTTTTTTTAAATTTTTGGCTCAACCATTGTCATCAAATACCTCGACTGATTTCCCAGCTGAGCCCAAACTACTTACAGCGGGCGTTTGCTATGGCAGGCTTTGTGTTGTGTATGTAAGTAAGAGTCACCCCCTTGTCCCCGTTTCTCTACACTGTAGGTCTAAGTTCTCGCCTGACATCAAGAGGGTTAGAATGCTTTAATCTTTTGATATAGATTTTCTGAAGACTTCTATGAATCTGCTGCTAGCAGATGACCGAGCAAGTGTAGCGGGTCATGAAGACCTTAAAGTGATACTAAAGTCAAAAGATTTTAAATTTTTACTGATGAAATCACTTACAATGGATGCTGTTCTTTGATGTGTAAAAGTTTTAGCATCCTGCAGAATCAGCTGGTCCCCTGAGCACTGGCCCTGATATCCTGTTTTAGGGAGGCTCCTTTGCCTTGCAGGGTCCTATGGAGTCACCCTTGTGTGTGCTAGTAAGTTGTGTGTGTCTCCACAAACACACAGGCACAGCAAGACTAGCCATTCCCTGCACTCTGCTCTCCGCTCCTCCCGTCTTACTTCTCCATTATAGTAGATGGATGGCTGCCGTAGACTGTCCCTTGTGATCTTGTACTGGACAGGAAGTTCAGGGATGCCTGCTGAGAGAGTTGGAGCTTTTCTGGAGAAACGGTGACTGTAAACGCTTGGTTAAAATTAGGGATGCACCGAAATTTTGGCCGAAAATAGCACTTTTGGCCGAAATTGCGGTGCATTCCTGCTTTCTCTCCTCCCCGCTGTGCGCTGTTCTGGAAAACATACAATCTCCACAAGTTATGAATGAACAGGAACACTCAGTACAGACTTTCCTCGTTTTTCGACTTACCTGCTTTGCGACCACTCGCACTTACGACCGGCCTCCGATCGACCTCCGACCTTGCGCGTCAGTGCAACGTGTCGCCGGCGGAAGTGATGTCCTCCGTTCTTCACTGCGGGTCCCAGTAAGTATTTTATTGCCCGATGAACGGTACACTGTATGGTACTGTACATCTGCAACACTATACAGTACTATACTAATGCAGTACAGTACTGTATAGAGTTCCTCACTTAACGACCAATTCGTTTAACGACCTGGTCGTAGGAACGGAACTCGGTCGTTAGGTGAGGAATACCTGTATAGAGGATTCCTGTTCATTGATAACTGGGGTTGCAGAATCAGTTTCGGCTTTGGCCTGACATTTTTTAATTTTTGGTTTTTGTTTCGGTTTTGAAAATTTCATTTCAGCGCTCCTCTAGTAATAATGTAAAAAAAAACTTTGCTGGGTAATGAATATATTTTTTTCATCTGGATTCATTACTGAGAGTTAAAAATGTATTTAAAGCCCATCTAACCACAAAAGATAAGGTAATATACTGCAGCTTACCCACTCCTATATGTGGCGGCTGCATTTGTTTTCACCACACCGTGGGTTCATCTCAAGGTGCCAAGTGCATTATGCATTTGGTCCCCTGGCAGATAAAATAAAATGTTATTGCGAGATTTCTTTTTTATGGCACTTGGTCAGACATTTTTTTATATGTGCATTTTAGATAAGCTTCCACGCACCCCATAGAATTAATCTGAATTATTAGATAGATATTGCAGCTCATCCAACTAAATATACTGCATGCACCAATTCTCCTAACACTGTGAATAACTTCTATACATTATTACTGCCTTTTCACTTGAATCGAGTTTTCCTGCGCTGAAAATGCAGCCTGGTGGGAATAAGTCCTAAGATGAATTTGATTGGTAGCCTTGGCCTAAAGCCCATCATTGTTCATTACGTTATTTTATCAAGCTATGCGCATTCTAAAATCATTGCCATCCATGTGCAATAATTCGCTGTGTGCTTCACATGATGTTACAAGTCTTCTCCGGCAAAATATTCCAGTAGGCAGTCTCATGAAAAGCTGATCTCATGTGCGCTGGCTGAATACTTGACATGTAGTATTGATTAAAACACAAATCGGGCTGCTTGGGTGAAGAGGACAGCGCTATCTTGTCGTGTTTTTGTTTCATCAATTCCATCCCACTTAAGTTTATAACATATTTCCAAGATGGATTGAAAAATAGATACAAGCTCAAACCAAGCATGTGGCTGTCAGGGAGGATGTATACACAGAAGTAAATAGAAAATATGTATTAGAAAAAAAAAAAAGATAGATAGATAGATAGATAGATAGATAGATAGATAGATAGATAGATAGATAGATAGATAGTAACTAAAGAGGACCTCGCAGAGCGAAACAATGCTTTAAATTCAGTGGTAATTTCTATGCCTGGGGGTGTTTTGTCTTGGGTTAAAAAATTGATGGATGAAGATAATATTTCAGGCTCAAATGACCTTGGGCAATATAACATTTGTGCTGTCACAGCAGCCTGTATCTGTCTTGTTTATTGTATTTGGTATATCCCTCTGTTCCCACCCCCCTCCCGTTGCTAGTTGGTACAGTCTCTAGCTAGACACTCCCCGACTCCTTCTGCTGCTCAGTTTTTATTTTCACTTTCCAGGCAGAGACAGAGCTTAAGAAAGTAATTGTCTTCTTACACTTCAACAGATTGGAAAATCATCCTCTGTCCTGCACTTGTTAAAGTGACATTAAACCCTCAGATTTTTTAACATAAAACAATACTGTAATGTGTGCCTTACTGTAATCCATGGTTGTTTCCCTTCTCTTTGTTGCTCTTCCTTTTAAATCTGTATCTGTTCTCATGCTGGGCAGAACTTCTGTTTTGCAGCAGACTGCCTTGTCTCTGAAATGGATACATGGTGTCTGTGTGTAGGTTTGCAACCTAATCCAGCACTACAGGAAGAGGCACTCAGCTGCAAAGGGAAGTTCTCCCCCAGCATGAGAAGACATGAGGATTTAAAAGGAAGAGGAGCAAAGAGAAGGGAAACAACCATGGATTACAGTAAGGCGCACATTACAGTATTGGTTTATGTTAAAAAATCTGAGGGTTTAATGTCACTTTAAGAGTTAAGCTGCCTGTGGATTCTGCCATACTGTTCGCACAGATTGGGTCTAAGGAGGCATGTTATTGCATGTATTATGGCATTTGAAATGGAATAACTTATAATAGTGAACAGTATTACAATATATACATAATATTATATATACTTTTTAGAAAACTAAAGGTTA